TCTTTCCAACTTGCTGTAGCCGGAGAGATCAAGTCTTTCTGCTAGCCTTCTTTCTTGACTTTTCCTGGGAGAACCAGATTCTTTTCTGGTGGCAGTCCATCGCCCAAGCCACCTACCGGCAGATCTGGGAAGTGCCTGGCTTTGGCCACGATCTCGCAGGCAATGCTGCACCCTGGTGTCGCCTCTGTGTGTTGCAAGTTGTGTTTGGCTCGGAGCAGGAAAACCACAGAGCCTGTTCAGGCCTGACAAGTGGCCCTTTCCAGTGGATTGCTGCAGTCTAGAGCAGAGGCCATGACTGGTTCAGTATCAGCAGGGTGTTTGAATGGGGAAGTTGAGAGTGGGGCCCAGAGATGTCCACATCCTAGCAGATGCTCGTTTCAATGCCCAGGCTTCTAAGAGAATTAAGACATGGGCACAGCCTCAAGCTATGATGTCACTCAGTGGCTTGAACTTGATGGTTTTCTGATTATAAAATGAATGGAGGTGCACCTTAGAAAATCAGAGAACCAGCAAACTACAAAGAAAAAATAAAGATGAACTATAAGCTCAGAGACACCTGCTGCTAATCATTTTGATGCCCATCGTTTAAGACCTTTTATATGTACCCATGAATTTATTATATAAAATTGGGATTACCATGTACATATTTTTTAAGGTAGCAGTTAATATATTATGGATTCAGAAAAAAAATCTGGAAAGTTAGAAAAAATAAAGGCTGGGGAGATAGCTCAGTGGCACAGTGCCTGCCTACAAGCACAAGGTCCTAAGTTTGATTCCTGGTGCCAATAAAAGAAAAATGAAGGAAAAGAATAAAGAAGTTAAACATAAGAAGTATGTAATTCTTTATGCCTATTTTTAAAATATATTCTAGTTAAAATTTTTTTATCATGTTCTGTAGGGACTTAAAGTTCAACATATGAGTACTTGATGAAAAATACCTTTTCCATGTTATGCCCAAGATGTTTGATATTCAGAGATATAGTGAGGTTAAGCTTAACAATCTAAGTTGTGTGGTAATAACAATAAGCTTGTCTTCTAGATGGTTAACAACCTAAGTTTGCAGACCAACTTTAGAGAAAAAGGAGGGCTGCAAGGAAAGCCAACTTTTTGGCCCTAGCCTTCCAAGGTCAATTAAGACTCAGGACATATGAGAACTTGTACTGTTACATCATGTAACTTGGTAGTGTCCCAAATTTTTTGATCAAGGAGATTATGGGGCCAAAGAGGAAAGTGATCGATGATGTAGAGTGTGCCCAAGGAGAGTCACATGGAGAGAAAACCTTTCAGGCTTTCACAGAGAGCACATTGGCCAGGCAATGGCCGTGGCTCATCCACATGGCTGACACTGACAAAGGTTCTACAATCTGAGGTACAGGATCTCAGGATAAATCCTGAGGGGATTTCACTGACCTTATCAGACCCAAAAGCTACAACTCTTGTTGCATAGGTCCTGCTTTACCTTGGTCTTAACCATCCAGCAGAAAAGTATAAAAACAAAATATAAGAAGTAAAGCCATGCTGTTATGTTGAGCTGTAGGGGACTCAGGTCAACAATTTCTGACACTGCCAGTCAAGCGGAAGACCCAATACTATTATGGACTACTGGACTCTTTTAGAATATTTTGCTAAGTTTACACACCTATAATATTCAAATAACAGAACTTAACCAAAAAAAAAAGGGAATACAGATGAATGTCCATTTTGTATCTGTGTATTCAAAGTGGTTAGGATAGATATATAGTTACATTCTCTTAATGAATAGAGGGATTTGTTTTAATGGTGTTTGCAAATAGAATATCATGTCTGCATCTTGTACAGCAATTAACCACTAGGAAGAATGTATGCAATGTGTTAATTATTGAAACTGTCCTACCAATTTGGTTTGAAATTCTATCATTGCTATTTGTTTCTCAATAAACTTATGAAAAAAATAAAATAATAATATAAAATTTTAAGAAAAAAGAAGTTAGTAGGAGTAATCCATGTAGACCACGCACTGGAGATTGTAAAGTGCTGTGCCAAAGTGAGTTACAGTAGTTCCTATTGATGGGGAAGCTGTGAAATGCAGCGGAAGCCCTGTGGAGCTGGGCAGATACGCGGCATGCAGCTTAGTTGCTTCGTGTTGCTAGACACTAAACCCACTTTTTTTTTTTTTTTTTCAGAACTGGGGATTGAACTCAGGTCCTTGTGCTTGCCAGGGAAGTGCTTATTCCACTAAGTCATCTCCCCAGCCCCCATGAACCCACTTCTGAGTGTCAACTTCTCTTTAGAAATGGTAGCCTATGGGTTCTTTGAGGATCAGTCCTGTGTGCACCACTTGTGTTCTGCTTCAGAAGCTTGGAAGCAGGGGCATAGTCCGTGTAAAAAGAGGTGGTTCTGGAACAACGGTTGCACCTTGGCTGCCCATAGCCTGGCTCTTCTGGATTCCCAGGGATGCTGTTCCCTTCCTTTTCCACATTATGGTGACTTCTCTACAGCAGAGAATGGCCTCTTTGGCACAGGGATGCTATTCCCTTCTTTTTCCATGGCTGATGATTTACTTCTCTTGTGACACAGAATGGATTCTTTGACACAGAATGGATTCTTTGATACATGGGACAGAACTGGAGGACACTTTGCAGGTCCCAGTGACTCGTGGCCAGTACTAGATACTGTAATGAAGATGCTGGATGAATGGCAAGGGACAAAACAGAAATCCTCAGCCTGGCATGCTTCTTGATCATCTGTCTCCAGTAATGTCAATATTGATTTCTGATGCTTTCTTGAAAACGGGTAACAGATGAATACTTAGCTTCATACAAGTGCATAAGTTGCCTTAAGTTGATCCATGTACATACTCATCTGCAGGAACACCAAAACTATATATTTTTTTTTTTTTTGCCAGAACTTTAAAGCTATGATGTGTAGAGCAATCACCTAGGACTCTTATTACCTGATACTTCTCACTAAGTAGACCTGGGATTGGCAAGAATTTGCATTCCTGACGAGTTTGTTTGCATGGTTCTTTCTGGGCTGTTGATCACGTGAGGCTTACATAATCACCACTAGCCATAACTTCTATTTCTTCAGCTTTCAATATAATTGGCGTATACAGAAAGTCTAAATGTATTAATAATCTGCATTTTTAGGCAGGGCTCATGGTTGGTGAGATGTCTGCTTCCCAGCATTGTTTTCAAGCGACTAGCATAGCCCTGAGCATGTACATCCTTACTGGAAGCTTTGGCTTCTTCATTTGTGTGTGGAGATGGTTTCTAGCTTTATGTAAATTACACAAAGCCTTAATTACTAGACATTCTTTAGGAATGAAATCAGGTATTTCCTCTTGACCAGTTTAGCCCTATGCTTTTAGTTACATTGTGAGTTATCCCTGAGAAAGTTGCTAGGGTTCCAAGATTAACAACCACATATTGGTCTTTACAGTGTATCTAAAACATCTGGCAGGAAACCAGTCACTGAATGTCTACTAGGGTGAGAATATGCTAACTGCTGTACAGGATTATCTTTAATCTTCACAAGCACTCTATGAGGTAGATTCAATTATTTTCTGCAAACAATCAAAACAAGGAAATATACAAAGAAAAGCCCCCTAAAATTCACAGTGTTGTCATTTGATCTGAAATGTTCCCCTGAGGCAGTTAAGGCTTAGTGTCTACGGGCATGTCCTTGAAAGACTCTGGGCCCCTTTCTCCTTGGTCTCAAGATAAATGGTTTTGTCTGCCACATGACCCCTGCTACGACCACACAGCATCCTACCTGAGGCCTGAAAGCTGGAGTCTACCTGACCATGGACTGTAGCCTCTGAAACAGTCCTCTCTTCTGATTATCTCATTGTCCCCAAAGCATAAGTGAGTATAGCAATGGTTGGACTCAGCTGTCTCAGCCCCTAGACCTGTGCTCCTGAATATATTTATATATGGGCTGGGGAGATGGCTCAGTGGAGTAAGCGCTTCCCTGGCAAGTGCAAGGGCCTGAGTTCAATCCCTGGTTCTGCCTAAATAAATAAATAAAATTTCTACACTGAATATATTTATATAATCTATGGTAGCAAAACACAGACATGAGACCAAAGAGGTTCTAAGTGCTCAGCCTTTTATTAAGTCTATTAGTAAAGCACTCCCCAGCTTCAATTTAGATTTTGTTAACTACAGCCAATGTTAGTTCTATGTTCGAATCTGACAAACAAGCTAACTGATTGCACCATCCTGGTGTTAGTCATCGGGTTCTGATAAACACATCTCTCCCCCATCTGCATAATTAATATCCCTCACACTATGCTGTTGGGAGGCTGGGGATGTGTGTCCTCTATGTAGATCTGTGGCTTTATTTTTCAGTTTCAGTTATACATGGTCCACCACAACCCGAAAAATATTGCCAGAAATAAACAGATCATGAGTTTCAAATCACTTTTCTACAATGTAGTGTTAAAATTGCTCTATTTTATTGTTAATCTCTGAGTGTGCCTAACTTACAAACTGAACTATAACATAGATGTGTAGATATAAAGACAGTCTACAAAGGGTTCAGTACTATCTGAGGCTTTAAGAGTCCACTGGGAATCTGGAAAAGTATCCCTGTGGGTGGGGGCAGTGGTGCCGAGTGGGGAGAGACTACTATAGTTGAGGTTCAAGAAGGTGGAAGACTGGTAGCCCAAAAGAGAAATCTATTCCTTGCTAAAAGGATGATACAGAAGTATCTTTTAGTAGTTACTGATGGTACAGCAAATTAAGTTTGAATGGAAGGTACCAACGAATGGAACATGGAAACTGCTTTGTCTTTTCCATACAAATAAAAGAGAGAATTTATTTTCATTTTGAGTTTATTTAACACTTCATCCAGTTGAACTGAAATAATACATTGACTCCAACGCTGGCAAGACATCTTGTTAATACTGAAATAAAACTGCCAGTCTATAAATACTTACATTGTAATTCCTTGCATCATGTCAGTAGAAATATTAATAACTATTTACCTTTACAAGGTTATTGCACTTTGTGTTTTTTCTCCAGAAAAGTTATTCCTAAAAGATCAGCAAAGATTGCAAATCCTTGTTCATTTGTTCTTTTTAATAAAACAATATAGTTAATATTTCTATAGAAAAGCATTAAGAGACTGAAGCTTCCATACACGTTTCAAAAGACACGCTTTTATGATCACTATGCCTTTAATTCTAGGCTTTGGTTGTATCTTCCCAGTGTGTGTAAAATTTTAGTGAATTTGCCAATCTTCCTACCAGTCATTAAATTTTCACATTATGGTTAATATTCTGATGTGGAGTTACAAATGAATTAGGGGGAAGGACAGTGAGTAGCTGAGTGGACTTGCTAGCTGGAAAAATGTTTGCTTTTTACTGAAAGTGCTCCTAAAGCACCTTTTAGAGATCAGCGTTGGATTTCAGGCTTTTAACCATCTTTTCTTTTAAAGAGAAGCACTGAAGGTAACAAATTGCATCCAAGGCCAGAATGTCATGGGGAAGCCATTTCAATGGTTTGACAGCAAATCTAAATGAGAAGATTCTAGTGGTATCAGGGGAGTTTCTGAGCTTCAGATCCATTAATCCTTTCAGAGAAAAAGAGAAACACAACACACAAGGCACACCAGTTTTTCTTTATGAGGAAATTCAGTCTGGACACATTGTTAGGGAGGGAACACCATCCATCAAAACTAAATAGTTTCTTTTTTTTTTTTTTTTTTCACTTACAAATCTATGAATTACAATGATCTACACTCAGCGAAACTGCCTTGCATATGACTTAGAAGATCTATAGACCTGAAACAATCTGTTACATTAAATATATGTAAAATTATTATAGTGATGCAGATAGTGGTACATGGTTTCATTATTTCCAAACCGGGTGGAATGTAATATACAACATTCAAGTAAAATTCACTGTTGCTGATTCACAGACATATTATTTTTGTATCTTTCTGAAAGCCAAGGAGATATATAAGGCTGACAAGGAAAGACATGTCGGGAACTAGAACTGTGATCTCACTTCTAAAAACTCCAGCATCCCAGATTTATTCAAGTCGCACAGCAGTATTACTGAATACACTTCTAAAATTTGACATTTGTAAATTTAGGTAACGTGATTCTTTGATGGAAATAACCAAATATAACGTCAGTAACTTCAGGGTAAGATTTAACACCTTTAAAAGAATATAAACAAAAAGTTTAAAAGCCAACCAGGAAAATCCACCAACAATACAGATGCTTTCAATTGTTGACAGCAGGGAAGGTGCATGGGTTTAAGATCATGACTTCCAGGAGGATACGAAGGAGCTTTTGCTCTACCAAAGGAAAACCTTCAGTATCTACTCTGGGATAGCCCACAGCACAAGCAGTTTCCCCTGGTAATTAAATGTTTACATTTGGTCCTAGGGCTTTTGCATTTTCCACATTCACTGTGGAGACCTCCTTGATTTGAAACAGAAGTAGGAATGAGGCTCATTACTTTGAGCTGATAACCTGCTTACTGACTGATGATCAATAGGTATTTACTGAGGAGCATATGCTGAGCACCTACTGTATACCTAGAAGAACTTTTTCAAACCATAGCTCAGGAATGGGATATCATCTTTGAAAAACAGTTACCATAAAAGCAATGGGAAGGAAACTTCTATAAATCACAATGATTCGGTGGACGGGAGCCAACAGGCGCCAGGCACCTGGCCCGTACCAGGTGCTATGTTGTAAGCAGCAGCTTTATTCTAAAAGCTAATGTGAATCTCCGAAGGAGTTTCTTCTTTTTAAACTCAGAGACTCCAGATTCAACCAGGTTTTCCTCGTGGACGTAGCTGTGCGGGGTTTGCAGGTGGCAGGATCAGCCATCCAGATTTCTTCCCCTACTTCACAGTCCTTTGTTGAAGTACACATGTCGTAATTCAGGCTGACTTTCCTGAATCTTGGCTTGCAACTCAGCCTCCAAGCTCATCACAGACATAGAGCTGGAGTAAGGGAGAAACGATAAGTTACTGCACGGGAAGAGGTGGGAAGCAGAACTAGAGAGGGCAGGGAGAGGATGCGGGGTGGAGAGCCACGGCTGGTGTGGCAAAACAGGCCCAGTGGGGTCTTCCAGGACTTCCTGCAGCTGTGAAATGGTATCTAATTTCCTCCAGAAATATCACTGTCCAGCACAGACATGCACCACAGGAACCCAACCATCAATTCATATTTCTCCTGTTACTGAAGGTTCAGGTATCTCTCGTTGTGGGTGAAAAGCTCTGGCAAAGACTCTCAGATGTCTCTGGGGTCAGGACAGCAAACTGTGTGCGGTCCTTCTAATGAAAACCATATGCACATCCATGTGGGCAAAGAAAGGAATGTGCGCTAAGTAAAACACGTAACACTGATAATTTAACTGGTGTCGCTTAACTGGCACATTTCTGTCTACGACATAGTATATGCGTACCGTAAAACTTTTAGAAAAAGCCAAAATGTACCAAAAGAAAAAGATGAAAAGAAATCACTCATAGTCCCATCCCTGGGAGATTCAGATTGCCTTAGAAATTTAAAAAATGTGTTTGAGTGTATTATAGCAGCAAATATATTAAAGCTCTTCATTATAAACAAATATTTATTAAATACAAGTATATTTAATAGAAAATTTCTAGCATGCTAAGAAAAATGTTAATATTTGATTATATCATTGGTTTCTTTCTTTTTTTTTTTTTTTGCGGAACTGGAACCAAGGATTGAATTCAGGCCTTCATGCTTGTTAGGCAAGTGCTTATTCTACTGAGCTATCTCCCTAGTCCCAATTAGTTTCTTAAAAAATACAGTATTTTGGTATTTTATGTAATAAAATGTGAGATTAAAACCCAGGATATGAATCTATATAAAATATGCAATGCAAGTAAAAAAGTTATGAATATGAAAAACCCCACAGTGGCTTTTTATATCCTGGGATTTCAGGTGACTGTGAACTTGTGCTGATGCCGATAGTAACGGCACCTACTGACCAGTGGTGCTGGGCCAGTTATGCATTTTAATCCTCACAAGAACTCTGAAAATAAAGCTTAGTAATTTTCCATATAAGGAAACCTGAGAGGCAAGTGAGATATGTTCTTTCCTGCTCCAAAAACCACGCTCCTAAGCAGGCTATCTGTAAGTATCTATAATTCCTAACACATTTTAAAGGCCAAGTCAACTTTGGAATTGAAGTCATTTATATCTTATTCAGTAAAGAAGGATATTTTCTTTTCTGATCTGCAAGACTCTGTATAAAATTACAACAATTTGGTCCTCGACAGTTGGGCAAAACTCACCTGCAAAACCATCTGGTTCTTGTATTAAGTAGTTTAAGTGATGCTTCAACTTCTTTAATGACTGTAAGCCTACTCCTAGGTTTTCCGCTCTGCTAATATTTTTCTAGGAATTTATCACCCTGAAATTTATTGATGTAATAATATTAGTGATATTCTTACTATGTTTTTAATTTCTGCTGAATCTTTTTCACTCATAATATTACTTGCTCTTGTTTTAACTTCATCAGAGATTTATTCTGTTACTATTTGCAAAGAATTGATCTTGAATCCTCTATTCTGCTGTTTGCTTTTACATATTATATTTTGGATCTATCTCCTTTTTTCATCTGGAGTTTATTCTCTTGTTCCTTTTTACAACTCAAATTATACATGTAGTGTATTGAATTTTCAGCCACTCTTCTGTTTCTAATTTGAAACATTTAAACCTATACATTTCTGTCAAAGTAACACATTTGTTGCTTCCTACAGATTTTAATAAGGAATATTTTTATTATCACACATTTATGCATGGATATGGATAGTTGTGTACTTGTACACAGGACTGCTACCACTACACAAAATAATGTGAATGCAGCGTTCAATGTGAATAGACAGAATAAGTGCTGGAAAAGTGTATACAGCATGACATGCTTGTCTAAAAATTCCCAAAGAAGAGAACTTCTATAATGTATGTATAATATCCAGCATAGTAATTAAATCTGCAGGAAAGGCGGGCGGGGAGATAGGCTGGGAGGAACCATGAAGATATAACCTACTTGTAATATTTTTATTCATTGGGCAGCAGATTCATGAGTATACATTATATCATTAAAATAAATGAAATAAAAATAGATAAATTAGGGTCACGCTGGGACCAATGTGCACAGTGTGCTATGAACCAAGGAAAATTATAAATATTAGTCTATCTAACTGAGGAGCAAGGGATAAAAAGAAAAACAAACATACAAACACATAGGCATAAACCAGACTGATAAGTGTTATTTTTTGAATAGAGTAAGATAAAAGAAATATAAAACCACATACTCTTAGAGAGCTTTGATCCTATGATGCTAGCAGTTATAGAAAACTTTTAATTTCTATACTTAGCTTTTGCGGTACTGGGGATTAAACTCAGGACTCTGTGCTTGCCAGGCAAGTGCTTATTCTACTGAGCCATCTCCCTGGCCCTATGCTTAGAATTTAAGTGAATCATAAAAATAGCTGTTAGGAATACATTGTTTCTTTCTCACAGCACTCAAACAAAATCAAGGGCTATTATAGGATGCTTCTTTTTGGGTTTTTGAAATTTAAAAATCCTAGGGCTGGCCAGATAGCTCAGTGGATTAAAGTACCTGCTTAGCCAGATGCAGGGACCAGGGCTTGATCCCTGGTGTGCTGTGCCAGGCCTGCCCCCAGGGTGCGCTAAAATGGTGACTGAGACTGGGCATGGTGGCATGAGCCTGTAATCCCATCACTTGGGAGGCTGTAAACAGGAGAATCACTGAGTCTGATCTGTGAAACGAGTCTTTGTACTAAATACATAAGAAAAAAAAAAAGAAATTAAAAAATCCTTTTAATCTCAAAATCATAGATAATACATTTCAGACCAGTCACTTGGTCGCAGGTACCAGCCTCACTATTTCCATATACCATGTCCAGCCCCTAGCGCTCTCCAGTGGAACATTTCACCCAAAACCTCCTTTGAGACAGGAGGGTGTGAAAGACTGTACTTGGGGCTTGCCGGCCTGTGAAAGAAAGGGTAACCCAAAGGCAGGGTACACAGTTCCATTACAACAAAACTAAAACCGACAAACTGCTTCTTCTTTATGCCTTGGTGCCACACTAGGAAAAACTAGACTTAGCACTGACCACCCTAGTCAGTCCAGTTCCACATCAGAGCGGAATTCAAAGGCGACTTGTGATAAAACACACGTGCAGCACAGCTTTTACAGAAAAAAACTTGGTAAGAAGAAGAGAAGCAAATACACCAATTACCTAAACTAAGTACCTATAATTGCTATCCGGTGGGTGTGGGCTGGAACTGAATTCCAAAATATCTGTATTATGGATGTGCGTGCCAATGGGTTGGCTGACAATGAACCAGATTTAAATTCTGACAGAAGCAAACTTGCAGCAGAGTTAACCTGACTCTTAGAAAAGAGTAAATTTAACAGTGTGTGTGTGGGGGGGTTGTAGACAAGAGCTGGGTAAAGAGAATTTTGACACTTAACAGATGCGAGCCTGATCTCTCCTTTGCTTCTTCCTTTTAGAGACTTTGGCTTGAATATCTTTGAGTCTCAACTTCCCCACCAATGAAACGGAATAATTATATCTATGTCTTCAGACGATTTTTAGACTCAGAAGTCACAGCGAGGCACTCTGAGGGATGAGGAGTGAGGAACACTTACCTTTTCTGAGGAAACAGAGCACAACACAGTGGGGTGGCAAACACCAAACTTAAAAAAAAAAAAAGACAGAAAAGACAAATCAGCATTTTGCATTCCCATATTTTCTGCTTATTACTTTCACTGCAATCTTTTTCTCCTGTTTAAAGTATTAGATTTCCTTTTTTTTTTTTTTGTGCTTGCCAGGCAAGCACTTATTCTACTGAGCCATCTCCCTAGCCCCACAAAACTATGTTCTATTTTTGTAAGTTTTATTATCTAGGATTTCTAAAATAATGAAAAAGCAAACACTAGAAACAACAACAAAAATCCTAAAAAATAATAGAGGTTTAAAAAAGAACCACAAAAATAGCCTTAAATGTAAGTCTCTCCACAATCATATTACTTTTCTCCAACTATTGAGGCTGTAAGTTCCAGCTATTCTGGGTTGGTCTCCTTTTCAAAACTTCTGTCCCATGTTATCCATCCTTATTTTACCTTGCATAGGCTGTATATTTTTAAAAATTAATTTCCTCTGTAGACATATATATGTAATTTTTATGTTAGTTCCTTTGGATTGATCACTACACATTATAGACATATATTGAATTATCACATAAATATATTGAAATGATATATATTATTGTTCTCATAATCCTCTCAGTTATTTGGGAGGATTATGAATTCAAAGCCAGGCTAGGCCTAGGCAACGTAGCAGGACTGTTACCCTCAAAAAAAAAATCACTGAAACCGAAAAGATAAATTTCTACTCACCAGAAGCCAACTAATCCAACCTGTATAGGTGCACTCATCCACGGGAACCTCTGTGTAGAGATACGAGATTGTGAATGCCTCTAATGTGGGATCGGACTAGAAGAAACCTCTACATTTGAAAACCGAAATGTACTATGGTTAGCAAACGTGGGGGTAAAGTCACACTGTGTTAATCCTAGTTTGCTCCTGTCCTTTTGATCTGTAAGTGAACACACATGCAAAGGTCAAATGGCTTGTACTTTTTTTCTCCTTGCACCTTAGGTATTGAAAAATATAGTGAATATTTAAATTTCAAAGTTACTACACGGCAGTAGAAGATACTGATATTAATCTCTCAAAATACTCCCCCTTATTTTATTTTAATGTATTTGGTACAGGGTCTCACTATGCAGCTCAGACTTGTAGTGATCCTCCTTTCTTCAGCCTCCCTAGTGCTGGGATTACAGGCGTGCGCTACCACACCTGGTCTCAGTGGCCAGCTCAGCATGCCCGGGGGTGGGCCTGGTGCTGCATTGGTGCCGGGGATCAAAACCTAGTCCCTGTGCTTGCCTAAGCAGGCGCTTGGTCCGCTGAGCTATCTCGCCGGCCCTCTCCCCTTTTTTTTGAACACACTTATCCCATGACTCTTACCACTTTCTGAAGTAGTTCTGGGAGCCCTGTTTTGTAAGTCTTTTTAGTGGCACTGTTGAGACTGTCCTGATATCTTGACTTGATTCAATACATTTACCTTTTATGGTCATTTTCGCTTTATAGGGAGTCAGATGTTTAATGGTGCCAGATCCGGTGAATAAAGTAGGTAAAGATATACTATAATATTTTTAGCAGGAATTTCTGTAAATGTAGACTGTAAACTGCTTCCGAAAGTAGCAAGAACAGTGGGATAATGTATATTCAAAACAAGAGGGAGAGAATGTCATTTTGCGGGGAATTAATGGCAATGTGATTATGAAGTAATAATTAAAAAAAATACAGTCACTACATTTTTTGATCACAGCTTATAATCTGAGTGCTGCTTCTGTATATAGGAAGATAGCGAAGTAGCTATCACTTGATAATTTATCTCCTGGCCAGGGAGGCAGATTAACCTGATGCCAAGGTTTAGACAAATGAATCTATGTCCAAATTCTACCCTTGCATTTACTTCCTGACTATGGGGAAAAGGTAGGCAGAGTCTAACACCTCATTGGTTTAGTTTCTTTGTTACAATGCAACATGAGCACAATGCAACACATTAAAATGTGTGCTAAAGATACAACAGATGATATTCGTAGAACACTTAGAACAGTTCATAAACTCAAACATTTACCATCTCTCACCCCATTTGCTCTCTGTCTTTCCTGGTTTTAGTTGCTGTCAGTATGGTTAACACTACTTCTGGTGTAAGTTTTTCTTGCTAGTCATTTTTTTAATGGAAAGGAATGAGTTGGTTGGTCTTTTGAAAAATACTGTTAAGATTTTTCAGTTCTAAAAAAGGAGTGGAACCAAAACATAAAAAGAACCAAAGGGATTATAGGGTTATCTAAATAAGACCACAAAAACAGAGGCCACCTAGTGGTGAACTGGTTCTAATGTATTCAGGCAACTTAAAGAGTCAGCACAGGCAGTAACCAGATTATGTGCGTAAGAGGCATACCCTGGTGCCCAAGGAGAGTCCTCTGGACCAAAGGAACATCAGGAGTGTCCACACAGAAGGAGAAAGACAAGGACTGAAGCACAAAGGAGAAATATCATCAAGAAGAGATTGATCCACATGGGTTATGCAGGGAGCCCAACCCCCAAGAGATAGAAAGAAGAGGAAAGCACAGCTGTGTGTCACTTAACATTTGAGTTAAGGAAATACTTTGAGTAATGCATCACTAGGTGATTTTGCCTTTATGCAAGCACACATTGCAGAGAATGCTGATGTACACCTGGATGGCGATGACATTACTACTAGTGTTATATAGGGCTATCATCAAAGATGTACTCCATCACTGGCTGAAATGTCATCATGTAACACACGACCATATTATATCTTGGACAACTGGCTGTTTGGTGAGGAGATGGTAAAGTCTTGCCCGAGATCCTCCTGGACATGTGAGACCACGGCTGGTACACAGTCTTGGTGATGGGCAGGCAAGCTAAGAACTCAATGAGATCCTTTGGGCAGACGACCTTGAGCCAGGGAGACCAGCCTCGTTGTCCCAAGTGGACTCCTGCTGCAGCAAACCAGACTAACCCCTTATCCAAAACGGAACATCTGAGTGTCATCCCAGGGATGGACATGTATAAATTAAATATTGACTCTGGCTCATGCAATGAGTTTAATCGGAAGGACTCCTTGTAAAGACAAGGATCCTGGAAAAATCCAAGTTACCCTGTAACATCCAAACTGATGCTACTCCTTTTTCTGACTCCTCAAGCACTTTGTCCTGTCTAATTCATAACCTATTTCTCAAACAGAACTTGCTCTGACACTAAGTAAATGAGCTGTAGATGTGTGGACTTTCAATAGGAGCTCACAGCTAAAGGTAAGGTTGCATCCCACATAACAGAAGCATACCAACACACAGAGGATACTTTCAATAAAAAGTTCAAATGAATTACAGATAGTAATCCTAAGTTTAAATCATATATATCATATTCAATAAAGTGTTAAAGTTAATATGACTCTCAATTCTTTTCCCAATAGCTTATTAACAGTTAACTGCACAGATTTTATGTGTACAATGTAAATTCTGACACACGTACAGCTATAAAACCTTTACCACAGTCAAGATAATAAACATGTTCATCGCTCCAAATATCTTCCTTATTCCTTGCACCCTTGTATGACACTTTCTAGGGTTTTATGAACAGTATCTACTCTTTTGTGTAATTACTTTGGAAATGCATTCACATCAATAGCTCATTAGTCTTTATTTTTGAGTTAAGCACTCAGTTGGATGGATGTACTACAACATGTTTACCTGGTCCATCACTGAAGAACATTTGGATTGTTTCTAGTTTTTAAAGTGATTATGAACTTTTTTACTTTATTTTTTGGTCATACTGGGGACTAAACCTAGGACCTCTGAATGGAAGTACATTCCAAGCCTTTTTTTTTTTTTTTTTTTTTTTTTTTGAGAGAGGATCTTGCTAAATTACCAAGTTTCCTAGGCTGGGTGGAGACTTATGATCTGCCTGCCTCAACCTTACAGAGCTCTGAGATGTCAGGTGTGCACCACCATACCTAGTTCCGAATAAGCATCTTCTGAGTATGTGGTTCCACTACTCCTGGGAGGGAAAGGGCTGGGTCAGATATAGCACATATCTAACTTTGTAACAAACTGCAAACTTTTTTAAAAATTAGTACATGTTTGCCATATGTAATGAGTGCATTCACTGTAGATAGTTGGTACATGCATACAACATAGATTGATTCTTCTTATGCCTTCCAAAATCTCTTTGTTTTCTTCTTGTTTGTAAAAGATCTATCTCCCTATTTCCTATTGTTTATTTTTATTTTCCTCTTTATTTATACTATGGGCTTTTCATATAAAAGAAATCACAGCTTATGAGTCTGATTTGACTTAACATTATATATTCAAGGCATACTTGAATCCTTAATCACATAAGAGTTGAAAAAAAATCACATGATCATATCAATAGATCCAGAAAATAATGTTTGACAAGATCCAATCTCCATTCATGAAAAACTTTTAAGAAAGTAGGTATCTCTCCTAGTACTTGGGAGGCTGAGGCAGATGGATAACAACTCCTCCATGCTTCCTCAGTGCTCCAGGCAGTAATCTCTTGTCCTGGGCTTGTTCCCCACCATGCTATCTGCTCCCTGAAAGCAGGGCTCATACCCTTCTTCTGTGACTACAGTCCTTACCACACTGGAATGCAACAGGCATTTGGCAAAGGGCTGCTGAATAAAATCTGGATGAATGAACAAAGGAATGCTATATTCACATTCAATTAGCATATAATCCTGAAAAGCTACTGAGGAGACATGTTAGCTGACTTTTATTAAAGGGAATATAAAAATACTACAGCAAAAACGAATCAGAACTATTATAAGATCCACACCATATCAATTTTATTTCCAATGAATGTCTCAGCAAAAAAGACATAAAGAGACAGTAAGAACCACTCTGCCAGGCCTGGTAGCATACTCTTGTAATCCCAATGCAATCCCAGGTTACACTGCTGTGAGTTCAAGGCCAGGGTGGGCTGTATGGTGGGTTCGAGAACAGCCTGAACTACATAGCGAGACCATGTCTAGATAAAAGAACTATTCTTCAAGAAAACCGTTCACAGAAACGCCACGATGTTAGGCAGTGAACTTTTTGGTTAGCTGCAAAAATTTCCATGAGTCATCTGCCTAAAGCTGGTGCCAGTCTTTCAGTGTTTCACTTGAGAAAAGATAAGGCAGGCGTGGGGTGGAGAGGGTGAGTCATCGAAATGCTCCCTAAGCATTAGCATTTCAAAGAGCTCAGAATGTTCAGTTACTTCCCTGTTCACTGAGGAGCTGGGTCATCTGCAAGGTGAAAGCGCAGAGAAGTCCATCCTTACAAGGGAGGCAGCTCTGGCCATGGAGCATGGGTCCTGTGGCAGACAGTATCCACATGGGTGGCATCTGCTGCTACAGAAATCATTTCTGGAGCCTTTGTGAAGGATGCACAGTCAAGGTCACCTTGTCTAGCACTATGTGGAAGTGCCCTGAATGTGGGAAGGTTTGGATAGTGATATAAACAGTCTCCATGTATGTCTCAGTAATGGTTATACTATCATATAAATCCGAAAGTCATCTCCATGTGGGCGAAATGTAATATTTAAACAGAGTGACAACCCTGAACTTGAGAGTGGTAGGTCTGTTGAGTACCTCAACAGTACTCAAGCATTAATTTGTCAAAGTCACAAATTGAAATGTGAAGGAGGACAGTTACAACCAGATCCTTTATAGCTAGGTACTTGGACCAACCCTTAAGAAACTTTTGCCACCTCTTTTGACCTTCAAGAAACCTGGATCCAGTGCCCCAGGGGTGGGGTATGGGGGAGGCAGAGGTAACCTGTCAGAAGACAT